TATTACTCTAACATGTCATTATAAGCAGAGTACTTACAATATATGGAAATAGAAAACTCCAAGGGGGTAATTACATAAAATGGTATACATTTTCCTGGCCTTAAATTTATAAACCCATTTTCAGAAATGCAGTATGCAACTGTACTAATAGAGGCATTTTGTTTCACAAGTTATATAACTAAGAGGCATTCTGCTTCATAAAATAAATATGATTCACAGGTTGCTTTGCAACAACAAAATTGTGCAAAGGAGAATTAAGCATGACAATGTTAAAAGTGAAAAAAAAATTCTGGCCCAAAGTTTTTAGCTACGACCTTCCTTTCAAAGGAGCAATGACTGGGGAAGAAGCAGGCTTTCTGTAAAAAAAGGTGAACTTAGTACCCCAAAACATTATTAGTATAGTAAAGAAAATGCTGAACAATATTAAAGGTTTTGAATGTCTAACTGTTTATTGTGTCATTATGATTTTTTTATATAAAGGCTGTAGTAGAAATATAGTAGAAATAATAAATGGGAAGGATGAAAAGACCTGGTAGAAGCATAGGTTAATATTAGGTTATGTTTTATTTTTATCAGGGACTTAATTTGACCCATTAAACAAAATTAAAATATAGTATTTTAATTTTCAGTTATGTACCTGGAAAGATGGAGAAAGCTTTTGTTACAATTTTGAAATGAAGGACCTAGCTGTGAATTCTCCATACTTTCCAAAAAAACAAAGAGGAAGAGGAGGAAGAGGAAAGAATATAAAAAAGGCTTTTTAAAAGCACTATATATATATATATATATATAGTACAGAAAAATACATTTTATCTAAAATATATACACACACACAAATTGTGGCTGAGCCAATGGGAAAGTTAAAGGAGGGTCAGCCACAATCTCAATGGTTGTTCTCTCTGAAAACAAGGTGTGGCGGGACCTGTCCGAACAGAAGCACTAGACTCTTCAGAATGACTAGCTTGTGGTTTTCCCCTGGTTCGACACCAGAGGAAAAGACAAAAGAGAGTGCAATCCTTTCATGGTACAGTTCTGCTTTGACATGCACTTCCCAAGACTTCCAGAGCAACTTGCACTAAGTTAGCCAGATTATAATTGATGATTCCTAGTGCTGCATCCTCTGCTGTAATGTGGCTAAGAAGCCATAAGTCAGGGGTCTCCAACCTTTTTGAATTTAAGTGCCATGTAACATCTACCTCAAAACCCAAATACCCTGGCCCCACTTCCTTTGTGTCCCTTCTCTGAGGCCCTGCCCCTGCTCACTTCATCTTCCCTCCCTTCCCCATCCTCCCTCCCTTTCACCAGGCAAGGACAAAGGGTTGGGGCACAAGCTCTGGTTTTGGGCTAAGGGATTTGGAGTGTGAGAGGGGCTCTGAGCTGAGCCTGGGGCAGGGAGTTGGAGAGGAGGAGGGGGTTTAAGGTGCAGATTTTGAGAGAGAGTTTGGGATCAGGGGGCACTGGGCTAGGGTAGGGACTTGGCATGCAGGACAGGGTTCATGAGTGGGGTAGGGGTTCAGAGCTGGCTCCATCTGTACACTGCTTACCTCAGGTGGCTTCTGGGTGGTGGTGCAGTGGGGCTAAGGCAGGCTCACTCCTGCCCTGGCCCTGCACCACACTCAAAAGCAGGACCAACCCGGCAGCACCCCAGCTGCTCTACCCGAGGTGTCCTGCAACAAAAGCCTGGTCTGCTGGGGGGAGGGGAGGGTGCACTAGCTGCCCCAGCAGACCAGGGAGACCCGAACAAAGCCGCACAGGCGGAGGGACCCCACTGCCCATGCGGCTTTGCTCCTGTCTCCCTGGTCTGCTGGGGGGGTCCAGCAAAGCCACTGGACCCCCCCAGCAGACCAGGGG